TCCTGATGCAGCACTGAAGCCCACACCAGAAGCCAAGCCGATGCCAGCACCATGCTTCTTTTACAGCCTGAAGAACTATGAGCCAAATACAATTCTTGTCTTTATAAACTACCTAATCTCAAGGTATTCCATTATAGCAACACAAATGAACTAAGACACTAGGGATGTAAGTCATGTGCACAGGACTCTCCCATGTCCATATCCTCTTCCTAATGAAGAATTTAATTGGGATTCTGATTATTTCCTCTCCTTTGGATGGTTGTGGCATATGAAATGCTATGTGCTTTAGTAGGAAACAAAGCAATTTCCTGAAACATTTTCTGTAAGTTATCTCATTCGATTAACTCTGCTTTACAAATGAATAAGCTAATGTATTGGAGTGATAAGTAACTTGCACAGTATCACATACTTAAAGCGAAAACCCAAAGAAGGTGAGAGACACATTCTTCCTGCTTTAGGCTCATGGAAATGATGGAAGTTGAAGACAGATCTTCCAACTCGAAGTCCTAAGTTTTGCACTGTGAGTCAGAAGACAGTTTCGGTTTCAGGTCTGTTACTAACCTGCAATAGGATCTTCAATTACTCATTTAACTGCTCTAAGCCTCAACTTCCTCATTTGTAAAATGAATCTGTGAGTCTCTTTGAAACTTTTTTTTTTTAGACAGGGTTTTGGCCCTGTCACCTCAGACTCCCAAGTAGCTGGGACTATAGATGCATGGCAGAACACCAGCTGCTTTTTTAACTTTTTGTAGAGACAGGGATCTTGCAATGTTGCCTATGCTGATCTCAAACTCCTGGGCTCAAGTGATCCTCCTATGTAACTAGAGATTCAAGAATGGCCACCTAGAATCCAACCCATGAGCCCTCTAGCCTAGGAATGAGGCTTTGGCAGGAAATATCCAAGATGGGTTTTCTTTCATTTCCACAACCCTATAAAGTTTGCGAATTCCAATAAACAAATGTACTTTAATAATATTTTGACATAATTTGTTGCTGTCTTTCCATGCAAGAAGAGCTAGTATGCAATGAGTACAAAAGGCCAAAAGTGAGTACAGTGACCAACTCACTGTATGCCCTTGGTCAAGGCCACCTCACCTCATTCAGACTCAGTTTATTCAGCTGTGAAGTAAGTAAAAGATCCTTAAAGTCCATCCTACTTTAAATGTCTCCCACAAACCTTAACTCGTGTAAGCAAATGCATCCTCAACCTGTCTACTTGATTTTCCAGTGAGCATTTCTAACTTAACATGTCTAAAACAAAATCCACAATTTTCCCCATCACATCAGCTCCTCTTGCAAACGGCAATCCTATCTAAGTTTCTTGGACAAAAACCTTGAGGTCGTTTTTGGCTTCCCTCCTTTTTTCATCCTCTGCACCCAGCCCATCGGAAAATCCTATTAATTTTACCTTCAAAATATGTCTCATGTACCACCACTTCTCAGCACCTCCACCAACATTACCATACTAACCTAAGCTATTGTCACTTCTCCCCTAGATTAATATGACCATTCTCTAGCTGCTCTTACTGCCTCTAACTTTGTTCTTCCACAGTCACAGCAGTCAGAGTGATCCTTTTAAGGCATAACTATGTCCCTGCTTTCTTTAAAACCCTCCAAAGTCTTCCCATCCCACTTGGGCAGAGGGTTCTCAATCTGACCCACACTCTAATGATCTGGCACCCTCCTGCTCCTGTCTGCTTCTACTCTCCTCCTGTTCACTCTGCTCCAAGCACACTGACCCCCTTGCTGCTCCTTGAACAGGTCCACCATGATCCTGCTTAAGGAACTTTGCACTCACTGTTTCCTCTGCTGGGAAAGGATTTATCAGGCATGCTCCTCCCTTCTTCGGGTCACTGAGCAGATGCTGTCTTACCAAGGCAGCCTTCCCTGGCCATCCTATAGAAAGTAGCACTCATGCACACTCCACCCCACCTCCACTTTCTAATCCCTTAACCTGCTTTCTTTTCCTTCATAGCATGGATAGGCTATCTTGTACAAGCAGCACGTCTCAAATTGTAATGTGCACACAGATCAACTGGGGGTCTTGTTAACTGCACATTCTGACTCTGCAGGGTCGGGTTCTGCACTGGTAACAAGCTTTCAGATGATACCATTGCTGCTGGCCCATGGATCACACTTTAGAATGTAGAGTATATAGCATTTGTTGATTTGTTTATGTCTGTCTCCTCTAGCAGAAATGTAACCTCTATGGTAGCCAAAACTTTGTCAGTTTTTTGTTGTTTTTTTTTTTTTTTTAACTCTATATTCCTTAGCATTTATATCAGTGTTTGGCACAGAACAGACATAAAATAAATTTCACTAAGGGAATCATGAAGGTATGAGGTAGATACGTGAGAACCCCAGAAGGTCACCCGGTAAAGTCCTAGAAGCTACAGCAAAATCCAGTGAGATGGGGTCCCGAAACAAACAGAAATGTGATAAGGCAGAGAAAGCAAGTGTCAAATCCAGTCAGCTGGATCCAATGATTAGGTTTAAGAAATTAGCTGGACCAGAAGTGAGAGACAAGGCCCATGTGTCAGGGGCTAGAAGAGACCCGAAAGCGAGAACAGGGCAGAAAAGAAGTTCAAAAGAAGCGGCTTCAAAAGAATTGTTTCAGTCAAGACTGCAATGCTCAAAGCCCGCTTCGAGGTGTGGAGATGTATGGCCTATCAGTAGGTTGCTGTGCTTCAAGGCACAGAGTTGGGTAGGACGAATTCTATTTTATTTCAATCCCTCTTGGAACTTCTTGATTTTAGGATACAAGAAACGAGTCTCTTAAAGTTTACTATCTACTGTATTTGATTTAATTTGTCCTAAATCTGTTTCTTAATAGCTTGAAAAATGTCCCATAACTTATGCATTTCAGAGTAATATAATAATTTCTTGGTATATTATATACCACTTTGATGCTGACATGGTTTTTCTGATGATGATGATGATGATGATACCCATTTTCACTTTCCAAAGGGTTTGAGGCCATTTATAAAATAGTAACAACAACGAATAACATTCATGTGGTGCTTCCCATGTGCCAAACACTGTTCTAAGGACTTTACAGATATTCATTTAATCTTTCCAACAATCTTACAAGGTAGGTATCTTTGTCATCCCCACTTTATAGGAAAGAAAACAGAATCCCAAAGAGGTTAAGTGACTTGCCCAGGATCACTCAGCTAGCAAATGGCAACACCTACAATACAATAAAAAATAAAATATGTAAGAACCAAGTCATAAAAGAAGGGCACATGGGAAGAAACTAGTTTTATCCTAAAACTTGAGGAGAGAATGTTATAACTCAAAACAAAACTTCATTGTCAGTTTCCTGGCAGCCCAGGAGAGAAGAAAAATGGATTGGGCTTTATCCAAAGGTTACCTCAGGCAAATTTTAAGACAGTCTTGTCACACTAAACCAGAAGCATTAAAAACGGGTAGTCAGTGTGAGCGCGGCCACTCTAAAAGGCAGAGCCAGGGAGAAGTGTAGAGTCAGAGGCCACTGGGGAAAGTAGACTGAGGTGCCAAAAAAGGCCAGCAAGAGAGGCAGAGGGAAATCAAGACTAGAGGAGGCGGAAAAGGTTCCAAACACAGAGAAGGCAAGAGTCGGTGTAAACCATCAATGCAGGGGAGGGTCAGCACCCGAGCGAATTATGGAAATGCAAAGTCCTTTTATACCTTGTTACTTAAAGTGTGGCCCTTGACCCACCTCAGGAACTTACTAGAAATATAGAATATAGAAATATAGAATTTCAGGCCCCATCCAGTTCCACAGAATCAGAATCCATGTTTCACAAGCTCCTCAGGTGATCGGGTGCACATGGGGGTTTGAGAAGCACTGTTTTGGCGTGGGCTTTGGTGATGCCCACACGGCAGGAGACTCTGACACACACCAGGCACTGTGGCAGGTGCCCTCACATTCATTATCTCCTGGGATCCTCATAACAATTACACAATAAAGATATCCCTTTTTGGCTGGGCGTGGTGGCTCACGCCTGTAATCCCAGCACTTTGGGAGGCTGAGGCAAGTTGATCACCTGAGGTCGGGAGTTTGAGACCAGCCTGACCAACGTGGTGAAACCTCATCTTTACCCAAAAATTCACCAGGTGTGGTGGCAGGCACCTGTAATCCCAGCTACTCAGGAGGCTGAGGCAGGAGAATCACTTGAACCCAGGAGGCAGAGGCGGCAATGAGCCTAGATCGCGCTGTTGCACTCCAGCCTGGGCAACAAGAGCAAAACTCCATCTCAAAAAAATATTAATAGTAATAATAATAATAAAGATATTCCTTTTTGTACTCATTTTACAGATGAGGAAATTGAGGCTCACAGTCACATACTTAGTGAGAAACAGAGCTGGGACTTGCCCAAACCAATTACCTTCCATTCCATTCAATTCATTTCTATTAGCATTTCACTGAGAATTTATCCTGGCCAAGGCAATAGCAGAGAAGCTACTCCTGGCATCATTCTGAAGGGTAGAAGCAGGAGGCCTATATCAGAGTGTGTTACAGCAAACAATGGAGGAAGGCTCAGCAGTAGGCTCTGATTGAAGGGAAGGGAACAGATGTGAGCAGGTAGGACTGATGTCTTGCAGGAAAGTAGAAACAGAGCCTTCTGGGAGCATGGCAAAGCTGGCCCTGAATCCATCCAGAAAACAAGTCCTTCATATTACAACTGGGGACATATAGAGGTAGCTGTAGCCATGCCATGCTGCCCTAAAACCCTCCCCTTCCCGCCCCCACCTCAGCTAGCTGCAGTGGTGTGTCACCCTTCTGACTGTTCCGTTCGTTCAGCGAAATGTCAGTATAGGAGCAAACTGAGAATGAATGTGTGTTTCATTTGCCAATGAGTCATGTACCACCTAACCACTCACGTGTGTGATTTGAGCACGTGCGTTAGCTGTTATTTAACTTTTCCTTTATTGGTGATTGGTTTCATGAAGTTGCACATGGGCCAGGATGGTCTTGTATCTAATTGGATTCCCCAGAATACAAGGTGGATGCAGAGTGCATGTTTCACAGATTTTTATTGATGGATCGCCTCTTCTGGAAAACAAAACCAGAGCCCTCAGTCCCTCAGTGCCGCACCAGGGAGAGCAGTCCAGGTGGAGGAGATGCGTCCTGAGAGCTGAGTGGGTCCTTCTACGTGGGTTGGCCTGATAATCCCCGCTTCTCCCAGTTGAGCCCTCCTATCAGGGCTCAGGGAATCCCTGACACGCCTCTCCCCTCCTCTTTCATCTTCATGGGAAACAGAAACTTCACCGCATGTGGGTGTGTGGTGTGAAGACACTAGGTGGTATTCTCGTCCGGGCAGCTGTTTTGCTGTGTTGTTTTGTGCCCCTTCCTGAGAAGATAAGATCTGGACCGGATTGTGATTCTCTCCCACGGACCCTCAAAGGCAACAAGCAAGTCACGTTCATTTCTCAGGCACCTTCTCAGAAGCACACCCCACATCAGTATCTTTAATGAGATCCAGGTCACTTGAAAGCAGCAGCGAAAGCAGCTTCCCTAAAACACAGGGCAAGATCAGTGCCTCCTCTGAGCTTCCCTTTCTTCTCCCAAGATCTCTAGGCAAGACTGATTTGCATGGGCAGCTAACTGGTACCTCCCAGAAGGAAACTTGAAGCCTGAGGTCGCTGGAGATACCAACACCTTCCCCAGCTGCAGGGGGATCGGAGAGATGAGCACTTAACAGAAAACAAACTTGGCAGGCCTTTGGGGAGCTGGGGAGAGGGGAGAAGACTGCTCTGGAAGACAAAGAAGGAAAATAAAAGACAGAAACAGCTAAAAAGAATAAATTGTTATGAGCACAAACTCTGCTACCTGGCTTCAAAATGGGATTGCAGTTGCAAGATGGCCCCAAGATATGAACTAACTCCTCTGGGACCCAGATTGTAGCCCAGATAGCAACTGCACCTGCCTCACCCAGTGCAGAACACAGAATTAGTCCTGCTCTGCAAAGCCCTGTGACTGGCTTGCTATCACCAGTGACCCTCCCTCCCCTGCAACCCAAAAGGACCGAAACCTAATTTTGATCACTCTTCCTTCCTTCAAAGCTGCTTCTCCTTCATTCCTCTTCAGACCCCCTTATATTGTAAACTGGCAGCTGATAATAGCATTCACTTTCAACCCGATGTTTACTGAGAAGTCAGAGGCTTGCAAAGATAGAGGGTAAAACTATTGGAGATTTCTTCTTCTAGTTAAATTCATCGTGCTCTCCTGACCTAGGTCCCAAAGACCAGGCTAGAGAGAGAAAGAGAGACACTGAGGTTTCTGGTGTATCTCCTAATGTGCAAAATGACAGGAGGAGGAGGCTAGTATTGCTTATGGCTCCACGTGACCTAAGGATGGCCTTTCCCAATGGTGAGCCTAACAGCCTTCCAGTCAGAAAATCAGGCCTCCAGAGCAGAGCTGGGAGGGGAAGATGTGGGAGCCTTGGGGGCTGGGGCTACAGTGTGGGGGGAAATAGAGGAGGCAGAGGCCCACAGTTGAGAAATACAGTGGAGGCCAGGCCCACAGTTGAGAAATACAGTGGAGGCCAGGCCCACAGTTGAGAAATACAGTGGAGGTGGCTCACACCTGTAAGCCCAGCACTTTACAAGGTGGAGATGGGAGGATCCTTTGAGCTCAGGAGTTTGACATCAGCCTGGGCAATATAGCAAGGCTCTGTCTCTACTAAAACTCAAGGAAAAAAAATAGCTGAGTCCCATGTACTTGGGAGTCTGAGGCAGGTACTCAGGAGGCTGAGGCAGGAGGATCACTTGAGCCTGGGAGGTTGAGGCTGCAGGGAGCCAAGATCACACCACTGCACACTAGCCTGGGCAACAGAGGGAGACCTTATCTGAAAAAAAAAGACAGAAAGGAATCCAGTAGAACATGGCAGCTCCTTTGCTGTTAAGTTCCAGGATATTTTTCATTCTGAGCAGCCTAGGGTGTCTCTAGCTGTTAAGGGGAAAGAGCTTGGAGGATGTGGGGAAGGGAAAGCTGAGGTACTACTGAGGGTCAAGGCTGGCTGGGGGATAGGTTGCCTGGACTGCATCTTCAGGGCCTTCTCAGTTCCTTTCCTGGCCCCTGGATAACAAACCGGGCCTGTCTTTCTCTGTCTCCCTCTCTTTCTCCTCTTCCTCCCTATCTCTCCTGCTCTCCTGTTTTCCCACCCTCACTCACACACACACACCTTTTCTTGGTTAGATTGTTACATTCAATCCTAGGTAGGTGTGCCTCTAATTTCGGGTCCCCAAGCATACACACCCTAGACCTCAGGGGACTGTGGCTTCCTGAGGTCAGGTCAGAAGATGAACAGTTCTGAAATGCCATTAGTCACACCACGGAATGGAGTGAGTTGGGTGCTTCAGGTAGATCCAGAGCCCAGCTTGGCTCCTATTCGATATCTGGGCCTCCTCCCAGAACAGCCTGAAAACCCCAGGAAGTTCCGACAGTGCCTGCCCTGGGCGGGCCAGTGTGAGCAGAGAGCATGGGCTTTGGGGCTGGAGCCTCTGCATTTGTATGCTGGATCCACCACCTACCTGTCACCGTGAGAAAGCAGTTTGACTTTAAATCTCCTTTCCCCTAGGTGGGAAAGGGACAATAATGGTCCTTAGTAAGACTGAATGAGATACTATGTAGGCCCAGCATGGTGCCTGAGCAGATCAAAAACTCCATAACTCAATAACTCATCGTCATTCTTATTTTTATCAGCACTGCCATAATCACTGTTAGCCTCCAGGCCAGCAGCCACGCTGGGCCTGCCGTGAATTCTCTTAGAGTCCATTTTTGAGGGAGCCAGTACCCAGCATTTTCCAGAGTCCCCAGAAGCTATTAAGGATGTCTGTGTACATCCAGTTTGCAGTGTTTAGTTCAACCTGGAGGGACTCACACCAAGTGCAGCCTAAGGGTTTTTGCAGAGTCTGACAACTAATATTTTGCAGACAGTCTGATGACTCCAACACTCCTGCCTTATGTCCCCAGGTCTGAAACAGCTTTCTTAATAGACTGGGAGATTCACTACAAGAATTCTCCCTTGTCAACATTTTACTAACCCGGATGAAGGATTAAAAATGATGCTAACCAGCAGTTCTGATGAGGCTTCGGTCAGTCACAGCTCTGCATGGCTACACTTGCTTCCTCTTCCTCTTCCTGTCCCCTCTTTGCTGATCGGGACTCAGCCTGGTATTCTTGTCATCACCTAGGTGAGCTCAGCTCAGCGTGAAACAAAACAGCTCATCTGAAGGCACCACACAGTCTGTACTGGGAGGAGGGGACCCCACCTCAATCCCCTGCCTTCTCACAAGTGGGCTCTTTGGGCTCCATCTTGCAAAAGCCGGGCAGAAAGAATTTTAATCTGGGCTCTCAGAGCCCTTGGACACACGGGAGCATGAGCTGCCCCTGATTCCTTGGGTGCGGGGTGGTCCACAATCACTCACTCACAGCACTGTCTGAGGGTTGACCACTCAGCTTTCCAATCCTAGGCACAATTTCTTTTCAAAGGGCTTGCATGTTTGTTCTTTTTTGAACTTCGGTTTTGGATCCGTTTGGGTGTCCTACAGAGGAGAGCCACTCTGCCTTGGCGTTGAAGCATTTTCTCACCCACGTTCTCCTCCCTACTCCCAAGTGTCTTGAATCCCTGCTGCATTGCAAGTTCATGCATCTGGACTGTTTTCATGCTCTTGGGCCATGGCGTGTATTTTATAAACACACGGTCAGTTTACACTACCTGGGAACTTAGGGGATTTCCTCTCTGTGGGAAACAGCTGTGGGGAGCTTGACCAACCTTGGCTTTGTGGAGAGTAAGACGTCGCCTCTGCTCATCCACTTGGGGCAGCTGCACTGGCTGTGTTCTTGTGGTTACACGTGAGGATTTTCCCAGAAATCTGGGCTAAGGAGGGAAGCTCATTATGCTCTCCTCCCTGGTTTGCAGTTTAATTGTTAATAAATGATTTTGCATATCATAAAACCCCATGTCTGTTCACCTTCACGCCAGCTACCAGCAGCACCTTCAGCCATCTGAGTGCTATGGGACCTCTGAAGCCGCAGAATTATGGCATCATAAAGCTGGAAGGGATTTTCAGAGAGTCATTCGCCCAACACACTAGATGAGCACTTACTTTATGCAAAGTGCTGTGCTAGTTTCCATGGGTGAAGACAGGTGAACAAGACCCAGCCTCTACCCTCAAAGTACCGACAGACTTTAGACTTGGCCATCATCTCCACAAAGCCTTCTGTGACTTTCTTTTTCAGGTGGGCTCAGGGTGTCCTCCTTAGTTCATGCCCCCTGCTGACCACTATCACAGCACCCACCATGCTGCAGTGAGGCAGTCCGTGTGTCTTTCTTCCATATAGAATGTGAGCTTCTGGAGGGTGGGATCAGCCACACTGGGTGACGGTGAGATTCTGCAGCTCCTATCATGAGGTTTTCATAAAGGGAGAATAAGATTAAGAGTAGACAAAACCTAAAATGCAATAAAATAAATGGAAAAAAAAAAAGATTAAGAGTAGAAACACTCTATTTACTAGCGACTTAGGCTAACCACCAAAAACCAGATGAGGTTGGTAGCTACCTGAAGCAAAAAGAACTAGAGATGCCAAAGGGATACCACCAACCTTGAGAGTTCATGAAGAAGCTGGGAACACTGGAAGCATCTGAGACACTGTTCTCTTGGCCCTTCTGCACATCCTCTCTGCCACATCTGGAAGAGTGTGTTCATTAGGGCTGCCAAAACAAAATACCGACTGGGTGGCTTAAATAACAGAAATTTGTTTCCTCACCATTGTGGAGACTGGAAGTCCAAGATCAAGGTGTCTGCGGGGTTGTTTCTTCTGAAACCCCCTCTCCTTGGTTTCCAGATTTCCGCTTTCTCTCTATCTTCACATGGTCTTCTCTCTATACCTATCTGTATCCTAATCTCTTCTTATAAGGACACCAGTCATATTGGATTAGGGCCTAGTCGTATGACCTCATTTTACCTAAATAATCTCCTTAGAGACCCTACCTCCAAATAGAGTCACATCCTGAGATACTGTGGATTAGGAAGTCAACCTATAAACTTAGAAGAGGAGGAGGAGGGTGCACAATTCAGCCCATGATGGAAGTTAACACTGATGCTCAGAGAAGTGCCAGTGAGTTCCTGATAAAAGCCACAGCCAATCAGTTCAGGAGGCAAGAATGAGGCCTGTAACCGCCTTCCTTCTTAGCTAACTTACAACCCCAGAGAGTCAAAGCTTCATCCAGCACTGGTAACTGAATTTAACTCTACATTGCTACCACTACTTCCTGTACATGCTCCGTCGCCCCTTGGCCTCCCCACAGCACTGGTACTGCTGGAGGTGTCTGTATTTGAGCCAAAGGCAAGAGAAGGTGTCAATTTGAAAGAGATAAAGAAACATGTCTCCCTTGAGACTAGGATGGGAAATGACATGGATGGAGGCAACTTCCAAGGAGAACCACTGGCTCGCTTCCCAAGCTCATAAGCGGAACATAGAAAAAAGGCCCAAATGCCCTGGCTAGATGGAAGAGAGCCAAGCCACCAACAAGCACCAGCAGTGGATCTCTGACTGCCAGCCAGGGCCATGGCACTGCCAGACAGGAACTGACATGGAGCAGAGAGAGAGGCCTGGCAGCAGGATGGCTTCCCCCTCCACAGAGATTTTGCTGTTGGCTCCTGCAGGGCCATGAGTCCTAAGCAGCCTCGGTTCTCAGAGTCGCTCTTCACTATTGGGTGCCAGCTGGCTGAGTGTCATATTGGAAAAGAGCACAGGATGTGAGCTTCTAGATGAACCGACTCATTATATCAGACTTGGCTTAGTTTGGCCACACAATGCCAAGACAGCAGGGAGGTGCTGCTGACTCAGCACCAGGACCCCAAGGACACGCAGGTCCAGAAGTGGCTTGGAGTAAAGGATATCTACAACTGACAACTGCAGTGTTCTAGAGTTGCTTAGGGCCCAGCCATTAAGCTGTAGTCCAGTTCTCTAGGCAAAGGGAAGTTCACAGTCCGCCTTCTCCGCTGCCTCTGAACCCAAGTCTCAAGGTGCAAAGTCCTGGAGGACTTGCAGAAATCAATTGCTGGCTTATCCAGGAGATATTAAAGTTTCCTTTAAAATCAACCCAGCAGTCTGGATGACCTGCTTCTCAGTCTCATCCTGAAATTGCATCCACAGCAGGGTAGACCAGCCTGAGAAGCCAGCTCAGGAAGTGTAACTGAGGAGATCATAGCCAACAATCGTCCTTGGACCAGGTGGCATTCTGGGCTTTGCCTGGAGAAAGCCACATTTTTCACACAAATACCAAAAAACTAAGGATCAGAAGGAAGAAGTCAGTGGTCATAGTAGGGTGTGGACTCTGCCTCAGCAGAGACTCTGGGGGAGATAAAACAGGGGGAGATGAGACTATGATCACCTCACAAGAGTTAAGCGTCGAAAGTCATAGGAGCTGTATGTAGAGCTACTTTGCCCACCTGTGGTTCTCCCCTATACTGGGTAAGAACAAGTAACAGCATTGACACAATTTGAGACAGGAGTTTGTCTAGCAGAAGACCAGAGGGATTGATTGCAGTGGCAACCTGGTGACCCCATTCATTCATTCATTCAACACATTTTTACTGAGCACCTAAATTGTGCCAAGCATTGTGCTGAGTGACTAACAGGATAAAAAATAAACTAACAAGCCTTACCCTCTTGAAGCTTACATTCTAGCAGAGAAAAGAGGAGATAAACAATTATACAATTCAAGACACTAATAATTGTAATAAGTGCTACCAAGGGCTTTGAGAGTACATGATGGAACGCAATCTTGGAGGTCCCAGAAGACTTCCTTGGAAAAGTGTCACTTAGGCTAGGCCCTAAAGGATGACTGGGAATCACCTAGAAAAAAGGATGGGATGGGGATGGAAAAGAGCATGCCAGGAAAAAGGAGCAACTTACGCAAAGGCCTTAAGTCTGGAAAGAATCAATGAACCAAGGTCCCAAGTGGCTAGGGTCCAGAGATTGGTGTAGGATGGGTCTAAAGAGCCTAGCTCTCAGAGAAGGCACCCCATGCAGGGCATTATAGACTTTCCAAAGGGTTTTTCTCTCTGTCTAAGAGCAGCCAGAGCCATAGAAGGGCTTGGGGGAGGAGGAGATGGCATTATTAGGTATGCTGACCTGAGCATTCAGCCTTCCCCTTTACCTAATGTTGCCTCCATACAAAAGAGGAGACCTGGCCTTGTGTCTGATTCATCATGATCTGAAAATCTCCAAACTGGACAATTCGTGAGAGCTACTTTGCTTCTAGCAAGCAGAGTTAGTCAACCGATTTGCAAAGACAAAATTTAGGTTTGCACGTGTGTTTCCAGAAGGACAGGATGTCTCTGTGGGCTCCCATCTGGCTACCAATTAACTGATGTCTGCGCCTTAGAGGTATAGACGCACCCAGCTTGCAGGAAAGAGAAAATGGGGCTAACTTCCCCAGCAACACTATAAACTGAGGCTTACAAAACGTAGTAGGCATGGCAGGTCACAGCAATTTTTCATGATACTATTGAGACCAAGCTCATGGGAATTAAAAGAACCCAGATGCTGCTGGAAAGCGAGTCAGCCTCTCTCCATCTTTGAAACTCAGATGTTTGGTGCAAATTTCACTACAAACAGGAAAGCAGTCCCTTTTCTATGCACCCAGAGAGAATCTCTAACCTATCGTCATTCCAGTAGGATTCTCCTAAACTGCTTCAAGTCAGCCTGTTGTTTTATCCCAAAACCAAAGGATGCCGGGGATGGTCTTTTGGTCTCAGAGGCCTTCATAAGACAGCCCCAGCAAATCCTTCCTCCATCTCTGAACCAACCGTGCACCAAGCTCAATCTCAACCTAAATATTCAAGGCACAAAAACTGATCTTAGAGGTCCCCAGTAAGGGCAGAGTGGTTCTGAACAAGACCACACTGAGCAACTTCTGCTGGACTTCCTCTCATGCTCATGAGAAATGACTGCTGGGCCATTTCTGAGACCACCCAGGCACCCTCCTGCTGAATATTCAAGATGGACATTCGTAGTGCTCACCCCACCCTGCCACCCCAAGGGTCTAAGAAACGCACGCGCACACAGGCATCTATCTCCTTAACGCTCTCATGGCCACCAAGCGCAGGCTAGAATACAAGGATGTGTCCCTTGACCCTTTTGTCCTCTCTTCCCAGTCTGAGCCAGGGCATGAAGTGCACAAGAAGACAGTTAACCTGAATCACCACATGGAGACATTCCCATTTAGAACCTTTGTGCCTCAGGTACAGCAGATCAGCCAGGGACAGGACAGGACGCCTCCCAAGGCCAGACTCAAGACAGGTTCCCTCCCCTGCCAATAAGAATGGACACGAGACATTCATGGGACACACACAGGAACTCTGAGTTCTGTCTTGGCCTCCCCCATCCCCAACTGGCAGCCAGTCCCCAAAAGCAGCCCTGGGCGGAGAGGGAGGGCAATTTTGGATTCTATGGGCTAGCAAGCAGGTGCTGTGGCAGCTTCAGTCTTAGTGAGGCTGCACGCCTCTCTCTTTTCCCCCACCTTAGTGAGGCTCCCTGTCAGACATTGGTGCATTTTCTCCCCTGGGCACTGGGCACAGAGCGTTTTCATTTCTTTTCCAGCTGGGGACCCTGAACCCCTTGACTCCTGACCTGGCTGCTCTTCAGCAGACACCTCAGGTTCCTCCTGCAGAAGAGACCCCTGTTGGCCACTCCTAAACCCTCCTCAGGCCCCTAGATAGCCCCTCCGCCCTAAGTCAGCAAGAAGGGCCACTGCAGTGACAGAGCTCCCCCTACTGACAGCTAGCTGTGGTGAAGGGCCCGGGAGACAGGAAACGAGGCACTCTCTCCCCTAGAAATTAGATTCTGGGAATACCTTCTAACTCTCCCTCAATCCACTGCTCCCAAATAAGGGCAGCATTATCTGGAAGATCTTAAGAATCAAATCATTTTACATCAGTGCCACAGTTCCGTGGACAACACTGAACTTGAAATAACACCCAGGATAGGCCCTTAGCCCAGCCTGGGCCAGACTAATGACATGTCTTCCAGGGTCCCCACTGCACCAAGCTCAAAACATCATGTGCACCAAACCATTCAATTAAGTGTTGCCACTGACTTAATTGAGACAGCTGGCCTACCCCTCCCCAGAGGAATTCTTAGATACCTTGCCCACCCTTACAACACAGGCAGCAACACACTTGGTTCTCAAAGTGTATGACATTCATTTAATCCACAAAAACAATGCCATCACCCCCCAAAAATAGATGTCACCATTAGATGAGGAAATTAAGGCATAGAAAGATGAGTGACATGCCGGAATGAAAACTCAGCTGCTTACACATAAAGGCCACTTTCTAGAGGAGCTGTGAGCTGAGGACCGTTAAGAAGAGAGGACACTGGAACCGGGAAATCTCTGAGACCTGAGCTCTTTCAGGGCCCTGCCAGAAGAGGAAGCTGAGAAAGCCAGATCTCTCCCTCTGCCCATGCTGAGTCACCACAGAGACCCTCCCCAGATCACCACAGCCTTAGAACCACCTCCACCAGTGGCTCCAGAAGTTTCATGGAGGAGCAAAATAGGGGAAGGGAATGAGCACAGGCTCAGAGGCTTGACCAGCACCTCCCATCCTGACCATCACAGGAAACAGGCTCTTCAGAAGGATCCAGGAGAGCTCTTAGCTAGAGAAACACTAAAGGCCCTCGTGGGTCCATCTTTATGGCATCTCCCACCCACAGCCCAAGTTCATATAATCCAGGGCCTCAGGATACCGAAAGCAACACAGATAGACTGTGCTCAATTTGGAAAGCAGCAAGGGTAAGGAAAGCAAGGAAATGGGCCTGGCCTCTAAGCCTGGATGACTTACTAAATGGTGGTGCCATTGTCTAAAAACCAAGAAGTCAAGAGGAACGCAGTGGAGTGAGAAAGGAAGTGATGTGCTAATGGGGGAACGCCCAGCGTCTTGCCCCACAACCTGGCACAGAATTCACCTCAATATCATTCTTGCTGTAAGTGCTAATTTGTTCACATTTATTAGAGTCAGTTAATCCACCCAAATAATTCGTTTATTTGCGGCCAATAAACTGAATGCTAACTGGCCTCCAAGTCATTCATCATCAAGTGGTGAGATTACGTGGTTATGAATAAACCAAGTCTGCAGATAAAAGATTTATTGGTGACTTAAGCATGTGTTTATTAATTCAATAAAATTTACCAAATACCTTCCAGAGGAAGACACTGTATTAGGTGCTTTAAAAGATTAATAAAAACGAGCCCAGTCCCCAAGTAGCTCAAACCTTACTGGACAAGAGATGAGAAGTACCCAAATAAGTGCAAACGATGTCAAGGGCCATGAGAGGGTAGAAACTGCCATGGCACTTTAGAAAGGGGATAAGCAGGTCCTTCTGTGGAATCACAGAGGGCTACATGAAGGAAGGTGCCATTTGGGCTGGGCTTGGGAAAATGGGTAGGCATGGAACAGACATTTATGGTACGGCATGCATTCCAGGCAGAACATTTGCAAAGGAGGAGGTAGGAAAAATGAAGCATATTTTTTAGAAGCAGTCAGGATTCCTGGAAGACAGGAGCAGCATTTCTGGATAGGGGGCTCATTGCCAGGTACTCTGTTGTAGGCAGGCTCTGTGCCGATCACGAATATAAATGCATACACAAAACGCACAAGAGCTCTGGCCTCATGGAGCTCATAGTCCCTCCGAGAATGCGGTTGAAAAAGAAGACTGAAGAGCCCCCCGTGCTGTCCATTTAAGTAGCCTGGGGACTTGGGGGTTGGCAATGGAGAGTTAGCAACAAGGTTATGATCAGAGCCTTTTAGAATATTAATCTGGCCCCATGTTAGAAGAAAATTTTAAGAAGAAAGAGGAAAAATATTGAAAGTTCAGTTAGGAAATTATGGTATTAACCCAGATGAGAGATAATTACCAAAATCAGAGCAGTAGGTAGGAAGAAAAATAGGATATGAATGCAAGAGATGCTAACCAAGCAGACTGCACTCAGTCTGGGAACTGGCAAGGGCAAGAAAAGCATCAAAATGGACCTGAGGCCGGGCGCAGTGGCTCACACCTATAATCCCAGATCTTTGGGAGACCAAGGTGGGAATATCACTTGAGCTCAGGAGACTGAGACTAGCCTGGATAACATAGTGATATCCCATATCTACAAAAAATTTAAAAATAGCTGGGCATGGTGGCACACACCTGCAGTCCCAGCTGCTCAGGAGGCTGAGGTGGGAGGATCACGTGAGCCCTGGAAGTTGAGGCTGCAGTGAGCTGAGACCGTGCTACCTCACTGCAATCTGGATGACAGGGCCAGACCTTGTCTCACAAAAAGAAAGAAGGAAGAAAAGGAGAAACTGACCTGAGCTCTAGTGCTAGGTGACTTACAGAATGTTGGTGTCATTATCCAAAAACCAGGGTGTCAAGAGGAGCACAGCGACAAGGAGGGGGGTGATGAGGTCATGTGGGGTGTGCCTAATGTCTTCCCACAACAAGACAGCAGGTGGTCCAGCCAGAGAGGTAAGAATCACCAAGAAACCAGGAAAGCAGTGGCAGGGGGAAGGGAAAGGAAACGAAAAAAATGGAAAGGAGGG